TTTTTATAATATTTAAATAAAAATAATATTAAATCTAATAATTCAATTTTATATATTTGACTCAAGATGAATCTGACTTATTTATAGTAATGAAATAAATATAAAAGAAAATTATTTTGATATTTAACCACGTGCACTGCAAGTGCAAAAAAACTAGTTATCTAGAAAATGATTAACTCATGTGTCGGTTCTAGCTGGATGAAATAGAACAAAAACATAATAGTTTTTTTTTCTAATTTTTTATATAATTCTAAATATAAAGAGTTTTTTTAAAATGCATTGCATGATCTTCTTCTTCTGACACCGAGAAAGAGTTCTAATGGGCGAATTACAATAGGTTGCAGGTAACTGACTTATATAATGGAGTCTTTGGTCATTGTATATAGTACTTAATTGGACAATCATATATCTATTTTAATTGCTTAAATGATCGGTCACATAATTAAATACCAATTGGATCGTTATTCGTTTATAATGTTTTCCATCAACTTGAGCTGTATATATTTTTTATTTTTTTAAGTGACATAACTCTCACAATGTGTCTAGAGCTAGTGTTTTAAAAAATAAAATTTCAAATGTTTATAAGTTACCCAATATAAGTTGTCTAATGTAGCATAAATTTCCATTTCCATAAATAATCAAGATATCACAGATAGGAATATACATGTTGTATCAAATGATAAAGACTTTTTTTTGGCTATATCAACGAAACCTGTCGCGTGAATTGATGAAAACCGTCGAAAGTTATTAATGATCCAACAAGTATATAAGTACATGTCCAGTAATCCAAACAATTAAAATATAGACATAGAACATATATAATATATATATATACTATATATATAATATATAGAGAGAGAGAGAAGAGAGAGAGAGAGAGAGAGATTAATGAGCTACCTTGTCATAGGAGGGGATTTTCTCCTTGACGCCTCTAAAATCATATGATTGAGTGACATTATGGTATGATCCACTCTGTTGAACTTGATCTACATATTCTAAAACCCCAACACACCAAGTTTGGGGTAAATCGCGTCGTCGTTTGACCCTCCATCGAAACCATGTGAAAAGTTCTATTCATTCAAAACGCGTTAAAATTGATAGCAGTGGATGAAGGGTCAACGACGACGGCGTTCACCCTAAACTTGGTGTTGTTGGGGTTTTAGAATATGTAGAATCAAGGTTCAACGGAGCGGATCATGCCACAAGGTCGCTCAATCATGTGATTTTAAAGACGTCAAGAAGAAAATCGCCCTCCTATGACAAGGATACCCATTAATCTCATATTTTATATAATATAATATATATATAGTATATATATATATATATATATATATTATATTATATATATATTATATATATTAAGTGATAAATACAATGATCACTTTTATGCCTAAATAAAAATTATGGAAGCGATTCTTTTCTTACGACCTCCTTATCTCATTATCTATATACTAATCTAAATTGTCGTATTCATAAAGAAAACATGAATAATTTATGGCACTTATTCTGAACGTTAAAAAAAAACGAACGGTTCATTCAAGTCGCACCTAGTTCCTTCTGGGTTGACTCTAAGCACAAGTTTGACTCTGAAGGATCCCACAAAAGTTAGGGGAGAAGGAAATTTATGGAGGCTGCGTTTCCTCACATCACACCACCTTAACAACTTTCATTTCTTATTCTTTGATTCTCCAGAATTAATAATTCCAAGCGCAAAATCCCAGTCTTCTGGTCTTAGACATATCATAAAAAGAACGGCAAGGACAAATTCTAATTTTCCCAAAAAGCAATTTTCTTTTGTGAGAGGAAAGGCCAGTTCATTTTCTCTCTCTCTATATATATCAAGTGGACAAGTGTGGTCACATTCTAGGCTTAATTGCAATTACATATTGTTAGATATAGGTGCCCTGCAGGCAATAATTGTATATTGTAACAGGACCTATATGAATATAACATCATTGTTCAAAATAATAGTATGCTATTTTGGTCAGATTTATCTGGTATTTTCATACAGATTAAGTCCTTAGAATGATACCAGACTATCAGACATTTAGGATATGATCGTAATGAAGAGATCTGATTTGTCGTTAACGTATATTCTAAAATGTTCCTAGTCAATGAAGTGTTGAAATGAGACATCATCACTTTGGGAAGACTAGTGTATACTCTATTTCTCCTTTAGTAAGATGATGATCCATCTCTTGGAGCATTGATGTGAGGCATCAATATATAGTATACATGTGATTCATTAATGAATGAGTTGACTGAACGACTCACTAAGAACATCTAGTTAGTAATTATACTTAACTGTCAAACAGAAGTTCTCAAGTGATATAGTACATAGTAGTCTTTTGACATGAGGCATGAGTGCAATATCTTACATGTCAATATAGGTGTACTTAGAGTTTTACCTAACCACAGTTCTCATCGAGTTGTGCATAACGGTTCTTGTTGGGTACATCCCGAGGCATAAGTAAATATTGAGATGCTAATATGGGATTCGTCTCTCCCAGTATAGGGGGTTAAAGTCATAAGATTGTTTGATATAACTATAACCTAGAAATCCTTAGCCGAGGTAATAAGATAAACTGAGTGCCAGTTTGATCTTATAGGTTATGAGTTTAATATCAACAAACACTAATTGAGCAATTAGGGTTTGACAGTTTTCCATACCCTAGGCTCAATAGTTTGACATGGTTTGACGAAGAGATCGGACTGTACGACATTATCACTAAGTGATCCTAATAAAATTGTATAAGCATATTGCAGACCTTTATCACAACTCATATCCGGATAGTCTTCATGTGCAGCTAGCACCTCTGTTGTACTTGTGGATATGATCCACTACCGAGTTTTTGAATTGGGCCCTAAAGTCACACCAATCGCGTACTTGAATCCTATGAATCACAATTTATAGAGTGATGTGTATGATTGATACACATATATGATTTTTTTTACCGGATACACATAAATGATTATGTATATCGGTAAAATCGGAATGCTATGTGCTTAGGAAATAAATTCCAGTATTTTTCCTATAAAGTTAACTTTTAGTCAACTAGTTGACTTTTTGGTCAACAGTTAACTTTTGGTCAACTCTTGATTTATTTGGTCATATAGTGACTAATTAGTTAAAGATTGGAATAATACTATATATCGTATTTATGAAATACTGTATTAGTAATAATAATTTGGTATTCTCATTTATGAAATACACATACCTTGTATAATAAGTCATGAGATGAGTCACTTAGTGGTATGATTTGAGCACATGGTTTATTAGCACATAGTTTTGAAATGTAATGATTCATTGCATGACTCACTTGATTAATCATTATTTTTTGATGATTCATTGCATGACTCATAGGATGAGTCATTCATGTCATGAACATATTTCACTCTATAAATATGAGCTCTCTCTCTTTATGAAAGGCTAATGAAAATTAAATTTTCATAAGAGAAAACAAGAGAGCTATACCTCTTACTAAACTCTAGCAATCTTTCAGTAAGAGGAAGTAGTAGGATTTTAAGAACCCCGGGGTGGATATATTACCTCGCATCTCAAACAGCATCCAATAGTTTTCGGGTTTACTTAAAGAGTTGGAGATCCACTACGAGGAGTTTTCTGCATCAAAGAGAACAAGCTAAAGGTTGTTCGATTCACTATCGAATCACGCTACAAAGGTATGACTTTCAAACCTTGTATGCTCTCTTAACAATAAGAATCATGTTAGATTTAATTAGACGGTCCATATGAATATTTCATGCTCTCTACATGCTTAGTAATTTTTTTCATAAATGTCTTCTGCTGTGTATTATGCATGTCGACATAGCACGATTTCCTTCACATATATACCCTATAGTTTTACTCGCTGTGCTAGGGGTGTGCAACGGTCGGTTCGGTTCGGTTTTGACCAAAATTTGAACAACCGAACCGAACCTCCTATAATTCAAAACCGAACTGAACCGTTACAAGTCAGTTCGGTGCAGTTCGGTTCGGTTTGTTCGGTTCTAACTTCATCAAACTTCTTATTAAATAACAAACTGTGTTAAAGAAAAAAAGATATCAACATAGTAGGAGATTATGAAGCATTAAACACTGATATAATGATATTGTTTTCAACCCATAATGATTCAGAAAATGAGTTTAGGGTTTGAGTCTTTGACTCTTTGGGGGCGGGTCGGGTCGGGTTTGAGATCAGAATGGGTAGTATTGCACTATATCGATCGGTTCGGGTTGAAAAGTTTTCAAACCAACTCGAACCACCCTACTCATAAAACCGAATTTTCCGGGTCGGTTCGGGTTGGTTCGGTCGGTTTTTTCGGTTTGGACCGAACCATGCTCAGCCCTACGCTGTGCACACATATATGTCCCAAGTTGTATTTTGCCGTATTTAAATATTCTAAAGTTTTTAAATATACATTTTAGTGCACTCGGTTATGCAAACATGAGAAATTTTCTCTACAAAATTCTCATGAGTCATTTGTATGTTATTTTCAGAACAATTGTAACTTTTATGTGTTGTTAAATATATTGTTAAACCTATCAAAATTAGATTAAACCTACACCAAAGATTCTTAGAAAATGTTCGGATGATTATGTTATATGATATAATAACAAAATTATGGGATAGAAATCTTATAAAGTTACTCTATCCAAAAGATAATAAAATTGTTGTCAGCTTTAAATATCACCATCAGTATATAAATTCAATAAAATCAGTTTAAATAATAAAAACATAAATTCAATCGCAATATAAATCAAATATCAGTCATCAATGTTTAATTTGATAAGGTGACACCTGCTCTGAAATATAAGGTCTTTTTTAAAAATACCGGGCTTCCAATTCTTTTCCTAGAAATTGTGAGACAAATAGTTTAAAAATAATAAGCAATTCGCAGGCCTTGTCTAGTGGGGGCCCAATAACCAGCTTACGATCCAGGCAAGAGCGCGCGTACAGCTCACCTCCTTTTCCCGCCAAATCTCTTCCTCTCTCCCCCATTTTCCCTCCAAAACCCTAATCCCCCATTCTCTTAATCTCTCTCAGATCCTCTCTCTCTCTCTCTCTCTCACTCTCTTTCTCAGTTATGAAGAACCTCGATTTCTCCGGTGACAAAGGTAAGAATCCAATCCTTTTCCTTATCTCAATCACTCTCTCTCGTGTTATATTCGCTCAAAATCGTGGTTTATTTTTCTTTAATTTTTTTTATTTTGCAGCGCTCGCTAAAGATTTCTTGACAAACTTCGCTGACTCCCTCGGCGAGCCAAAGTACCTCAAGATCCTGGTACTATGACCCCTCTTCAAAAAAAAAAAAAAAAAGAACCCTAATTTTGTCTAAGCCCTAACTGAAATTGCTTGTTTGACGATTCTGCAGCAAGATGTGGCTAATCAGAAGTTTCGTTCGGTTACTATCGAGATCGATGATCTCTTCAATGTAAGCCCCCATTCTTTATCCCTCTCTGATTAGAAATTGCGTTGATTTTGCCCTAAATTCATGTATATTGAGAAGGGTAAATTACAGTGAACCGCCAATAACTTTCAGATTTTTACACTAAACTCCTAATAACTTTCAACATCACACTAGACCCCCAATAACCTTTTGAAAGTGCAAGAAACCCCCTAATAAGTTTCTACGTTTTTTTAAAAAAACCTATAAATTAGAACCATAAAACAGCATAAAAGGCATTTTGAAAGTTTTCTTTTTTTGGGAAGGGTCGTGTATTTTACCCTTAAGATATTGGGGGTTTTTCTGCAAAAGTTATTGGGGATTTACTGAAAAATACTGAAATTTCTTTGGGGTTTAGTGTGATTTTGAGAACATTTTCAGTAGACCCCCAATAACTTTTTGAAAGTGCAAGAAACCCCTAATAAGTTTCTACATTTTTTTAAAAAACCTATAAATTAGAACCATAAAACAGCATAAAAGGCATTTTGAAAGTTTTTTTTGGGGAAGGGTCGTGTATTTTACCCTTAAGATATTGGGGGGTTTCTGCAAAAGTTATTGGGGGCTTACTGAAAAATACTGAAATTTCTTTGGGGTTTAGTGTGATTTACCCTTTTGAGAACATTTTCAGTAGACCCCCAATAACTTTTTGAAAGTGCAAGAAACCCCTAATAAGTTTCTACGTTTTTTAAAAAAAACCTATAATTTAGAACCATAAAACAGCATAAAAGGCATTTTGAAAGTTTTTTTTGGGGGAAGGGTCGTGTATTTTACCCTAAAGATATTGGGGGTTTTCTGCAAAAGTTATTGGGGGCTTATTGAAAAGTACTGAAATTTCTTTGGGGTTTAGTGTGATTTACCCTTTTGAGAACATTTTCAGTATTCTCTCATTTTTGAGATAAGTTTGAAAGAAATTGCCTTGAAAATTTGTCTTTTTCTAAGAAATGCACCATAAACTTCATTATTCTAAATTGCTACCAGGAAGCTTAAAGTTTGCCCTAGATTCATATAATTTGAGAAAATTTTCCGCATTTTCAAATTTTAGGACAGAATGACAGATTTGAAGGAACTTCCGTGAGATTTCATATTTTTTTGTTCGGAAAAATGTCATACACTTTATTACTCTAAATTGCTACCGGAAAACTTAAAGCTTCCATGAACTTCTTTATTTCTATCCTAATAATATAATTAACTTTATCAATTCTAAATTGCTGCCAGGAAATCTAAAGTTCCTGGTAGTTAAAAAAAAGGATAAACGTAAAAGAAGTGAAATAAGTGGAACTGGAACCAAAAATTATGAATATGCTTGTCCATAAACAGAAGTGAGTGCCTAACGTAAGTTCATCATATTTTCTTGAAGTATTTAATGTTTGGGATTTGTTTTCTAAAAAACCTTCATGGTAGCTTCTTAAATCTTCCCTTATCGATTTCAAGCAAGAACCTTTATAGCTGGCAGTAAACTCTTCCATGAGATGAATAATACCGTCTTCCCCACGCCATTTTCTCCTTCTATTAGTTTCACCAAACAAAAAAAATTACATATTTCCCTCAAGGGAAACTAAATAGCATTGATTTGGTTGCAGTATAAGGATTTGGAGGAAGAATTCTTGATTCGGGTCACTGAGAACACTAGGCGGTACATCAGCATCTTTGCTGAAGCAGTGGATGAGCTCATGCCGGAGCCGACAGAGGTGTTCTCTTTGGATGAGGACCATGACATCTTGATGACACAAAGAGCGGATGATGGGACAGACAATGCTGACAACTCTGATCCCCACCAAAAGATGCCTCCCGAGATCAAGAGATTCTAGTAAGTAATGACGGGTTAAAATTACGGTGAATTTTTAGTTAGATTTTTCACCAATTTGCTCTCTTGTTTTTGCATTGCGTTGATATTAATGTGGGAATATCTTGGTTATCAGCGAAGTGTACATTAAAGCCTTCTCTAAGGCGACACCACTGACAATAAGACAAGTTAAAGCTTCCAATATTGGCCAGCTTGTGAAGATTTCTGGCATTGTAACCCGCTGTTCAGATGTGAAGCCCTTGATGCAAGTTGCTGTTTATACTTGTGAAGATTGCGGGTTTGAGATCTATCAGGTATTTGTTATCTTGCCAACTATTGATATGATAAGTTTTAGGACGTTAGAAAAGCATGGACTGACTACTTTTGTCTGTTTTACTTAGCATGCTTTAAACTCTTGTGAGTATTAATAAATATTATTCACTTAAGAACTCCATGTTTGCAATGTCTATCAGGAAGTGACTGCTCGTGTATTTATGCCTCTGTTCGAGTGTCCATCAGTCCGCTGTAATGTAAACAGGAGCAAGGGAAATCTTATTCTTCAACTTAGAGCTTCAAAATTTTTGAAATTTCAGGAGGTAGCTTCTCCACCCTCTTACTGTTGTTTTTATTGTATAGTGCATGGCTGTATGTTTTTTTTATCAGACATTTTTTAGTGACAAATTTCACGCAAACTTGCATAGACAGATTTTCTGGTGGCTAGTAGTCAGCCTTTATTTCTGAAGTATTTTAGTTGCAGGCCTCTATTGCTAATGATTATAAATTAATGCATGCAGGATGCTGGTTATTTACATAAATATTTGGGCGAAACGTTTCACTATTCATTTAGGCCATATCAGTATGCCAAAGGACATCTTTTAGTAATTTAGAATTTAGATTATATTATCTACATGCAGTAAAATCATCTACACTTATGTAGGGTCAACTTGGTTCTTTTTTGTTCACTATTCTGGTTAATAAGTTGCAAACTGATATTTGCAAGACTGAAGTGGCTCAGGGGGAAGATGAGAGGGTGCTACGTCTTATTTAATTAAAAAAATGATGAGGTAAACTTTGATGAGCTTTCACATAAATGGTATCTATGTGTTGGCAATTTCCATATCACATGTCTGACCTTTTGCCAACCTTTGGAAACCAAATGAGATTGGCAAAAATCCACTGATTTTACCTGCTTTCTTTATTTTGAAAAGCCTAAGGATATTCTTGTGTTTTGACTTCTTAAACCTCTCAGTCTTATTTGCTTCTTTCAGCTGGCACTGTATTAATTTATATGTGAGTAGAGTTCTTGTAGGGAATTTTTAGATCTCGCAAAAACCACAAAAAGCCACCAAACACAGGAAATAAAATCACACAAGATTTAACGTGGAAAAACCACGAGATCAAAATCAATCCACTATCACCTTCAAATTACAATTTTTTGCACGGACAAAGACTGCCAAACCCCCTCTCTCTTTCTCTCTACAATTTTCTTCTTAGTTTTTCCTCTAACAATAGAAGGACATATATAGGGAAACCAAAACCCTATCTCTAGCCTAACTTCCTAATTAGAATAAGATTCAACCTCCTAATCATGATGGAACCCAAACTCCTAATCATGATAGATCTCTAACAGTATCTAATTCTCATGAAGTTATACAAAGAATTAAAAACATTATACTAACTTAGAGTTTGAGTTGATACCCAACATATCCTCCCTCGACGAAAAATCTCCAAGCGTCTCAACGGTTTCAGAAAAACTCACTCTTTTCTTCTCGTTCTTTACCTCTCTATTGTGGACAAGAGTCTAAGAAGAGCAATCTACACTATTAACGGATCGCCCATCTAAATAGCAAAAATAGTTGCTATTCCTCCCTCGTAAAATCAAATCACTATCTCTATACACTTTACACCACTCTCCTTCACCCACATACTTGTACCCACGTGATGCCATCTCACCCAACGAAATTAAATTACTTCACCCACATACTTGTACCCACGTGATGCCATCTCACCCAACGAAATTAAATTAGCACCACATGACGACACATATCTCACATTTGTACCCACGTGATGCCATCTCACCCAACGAAATTAAATTAGCACCACATGACGACACATATCTCACATAATGAAAAATTCCGACCTTCCCAGTGTGAAGCTTGAGGTGAACATTTCCAACACCTTCAACCTTCATCTTCTCGTTGTTTTTAACAATCACGTCGTTAAATTTTTCATCTGTCTTCAATGTGTTAAAATAATTTTTGTTGTCGCAAACGTGCATAGAAGCTGCATAATCTAACACCCAATTGTTACTCGCATCAGTAGCTGTACTCTGCATCAATAAAATCACATCTTCATCACACAACCACCGAGGAGTCCGCCTTCTTCCCATTTTCTTGAAGCTTCGTCTGTCTAATACTCTTCAAATTATCACGCATCTGGGAATATCTGAACTGAATGTGATCATTTTCTTCGCAATAATATCACTCCTTTTCGCTATCGTCTCGGGCCTAAGATTTTAACCTTTCTTGATAACTGTCACATCTCTCCTTACTTCTCACTCGATTAAAACCTTCAAAAGCTAGTGCACTCTCACCACCATTAGATGCGCTCTCCTTTCCCATCGTTCTTTTATTCTCACGTAGGAGTGCTGTCACATCGTCGAACTTCAAAGTCTGCTTTTCTGCAATTATCGTCTGAACTAACGGCTTGTACGACTTTGGCAAGGACGACAATAGGAGTAGCGTCTGCTCTTCTTCTTTAATCTCCTCATCTATATTCATAAGTTAGCAAACTAGCTGATTAAATGTATTAATGTGGCCTTGAATTACAATACCTTCTTCCATCTTCAACGAATAAAGCTCCATCCTCAAACACAATCGGTTGGTTATCGATTTCGACGCATAAATTCCCTCGAGTCTTTTCCACAACCCCCTTAGTATGGTCTCTTGCATAACATTGTACTTGATCTCGGGGGCGAGTGCCAAACGAATTGTGCTAACCGTCCTCTTTTGTAGAGAACTCTATTTAGCATCCTTCAATCCTTCAGGTTTCTTATCTTCTAAAGCTTAATCAACACCCTGCTGCACAAAAATATCTTGAACCGTGTATTGTTATACTGTAAAATTTATTTTGTCATTGAATAGCGGAATATCAAACTTCGGACCCGAAGAAGTCATCATCTTCTAACCGCAATCAAAATTCAAATCAGTCACTATAGAGGTTGAATTTGATAAAACCGATATAAAAAACGAACTTAGCACGTTGAAAAACCATAGGAACGACTCCTGAATCACCAAAATCCGCCTCCAAATCCTCGATCAAAAGACGAATCAACCTTAACCGCCGGATCTGTGTGAACAATGCCTGCTACAGTATTCCTGCTACAGTGCCATCACTGCAGTTACATTTTTTCCTCCCCCGATGTTGATCACCGCACTTCGACCGCTGACGCCTTCACGAATCGCGCACCGATCAAACCTCTATGAACCGTCGAACCCCCGCTCTGATACCACTTGGAGGGAATTTTTAGATCTCGCAAAAACCCCGAAAAATCACCAAACACAGCAAATAAAATTACACAACATTTAACGTGGAAAAACCCTCAACAGAAAAAAACTACGGGATCAAAATCAATCCACTATCACCTTCAAATTACAATCTTTTGCACGGACAAAGAATGCCAAACCCTCTCTTTCTCGTTCTCTCTACACTTCTTCTTCTTAGTTTTTCCTCGAACAATAGTAGGACATATATAGGGAAACTAAAACCCTATCTCTAGCCTAACTTGCTAATTAGAATAAGATTTAAACTCCTAGTCATGATGGAACCCAAACTCCTAATCATGATAGATCTCTAACCCTATCTAATTCTCATGAAACTCCTAATCATGATAGATCTCTAACCCTATCTAATTCTCATGAAGTTCTACAAAGAATTAAAAACACTATACTAACTTAATTCTCATGAAGTTCTACAAAGAATTAAAAACACTATACTAACTTGGAGTTTGAGTCGATACCCAACAGTTCAGTCGTGCATGCAAATATTTACTTGTGCAGTTTGGTCATGAAAGGGCTATATAAATGAAACCATACGACATAAACGTCAAGCTGAATACCTCTGATGTCAGAGATGAATATTACCAAACAAAGACTGGTGCTCTGAAATACCTAGCACTTATATAGAATACATATAAAGCCACACATTGTTTGTGTTTGGTACTAGGAGGCACCTCCTTCAATGATGCCGAACGGATAAAATTTTGTGGATAGATGTATCTTTTATTAGCTTCGCCATTGTCCACTTTTTCTTTATAACTTGCCACTTTTCTATTTTTCTTATTGCCATTGTTGATTGTTCTTTCTGTCGTAACAACTATATTCTTTCATGTGATCGTCTTGCAGGCAAAGATCCAAGAGTTAGCAGAACATGTCCCTAAAGGTCATATTCCACGTTCTTTGACTGTTCATCTCAGAGGAGAACTTACCAGGAAGGTTGATAAGACTCTTCTAAGTTGTTAATATCGTTTGTGTGCACATATGTGCTTGGGCATACTATTTCCTTTTCCCTTTGCTTCTTGCTTCCAGTATGATTCATTCTACCTATTTCTGGTTCATCAGGTTGCACCTGGTGATATTGTTGAATTCTCGGGGATTTTTCTTCCCATCCCTTACACTGGATTTAGAGCAATGAGAGCAGGTTTGGTTGCAGATACATATTTGGAGGCCATGTCCATTACTCATTTCAAGAAAAAATATGAAGAGTATGTTCCCTTTTCAATTTTATTGTTTCATCTTAAGCCTAACATAAGTATGCCATATAAATGTAATGGTTTTGCGCTCTCTGTTTATCTCATCACATATCTAAATCATTTTACGTCAAACTTTGCAGCAAACTGGAAGCATATTAACGATATTCATAATGGAGGATTGTGGAGTCAATTATATAATATATTTAAAATTTTATATTTGGCTGTAGGTATTCTCTTTTATATGCATCAATGCCACATTTTTTTTAAACACAAATAAAGCCTCCACTACATCAGCAAGGAAACGTCTTGAAGGATATTCACTTATCCAAAAGGAAAACAAGGCTTTCACTTTTTTTAGGGTATTTCAAGTAAATGGTTGTTCATGAGCCAGGGATATGGTTAGGCTCGTTCTTCCAGTTTGTAAAGAAGATGTCTGTATATAGCCCCCGCTGTGCATTAAATAGCTCTATGGGATTTATTTTTTTGGAATTTCACACTCTTTACTGATGAAACATGTCTTATTAGAGATAAAAATTGGCATAGCTTAACAATTCTAGCCATACCTATAATTTTCATGGCACTAACTGGTGGTCAAGAAACTTACATTTGAAGGTTACTAGAAACACTTTCCTGTTAGGATGACATCTCTTATGTTTAAAACCCATTTAAAATTGACTGGAGATGCACTTCAACATTTTTTCTTGTGTCCTATAGGAAGGAAATGATATGATTGCAGTAGTGTTTTAAAATTGGATTTCTAGGCTGTGCAGCTCTTTGGGTGCTTTCGTAGATGGCTAATCTGTTCATTTCAGGTCACATGGTGATCCAAAATGGATCATATAGAATCAAAATCCAATGTTTTAGAAATGACTGGCTGGTTACCTTTGTTTCAGCATGCTATAAATCTCTTAGCTAGTCAGTAATCAATGTAATATGTACATTTTTGATCTGGCAATAATTATGTTTAAACTTTATATTCAGTTTAATAGAATCTTAAGACTTAAAACTATCAGAAGTTTAGTTTTTGACTAGTTAACTTGCTTCTGTTAATACCTGATTTTGAGTGTCATTGGTTGACAATTATCAAGTCTTTCAGCAACTATCACATTTCAGGTTTCATATATATTTTTGGCTCTGAGAATTGAGGACTGACGAAAATGGTTATATTTTGGCCCCAACACTAGGGCGATGGTTGATGATTTATGTTTTCTTTGCAGATATGAACTTAAAGATGATGAGCAGGAGCAAATTGAACGTTTAGCTGGGGATGGTGACATTTATAATAAGTTGTCACGGTCATTAGCACCTGAAATTTTTGGCCATGAAGATGTTAAGAAGGCTCTTCTACTACTACTTGTGGGTGCTCCACATCGGAAACTATCGGATGGTATGAAGGTAAGCAATAACATTGTAATTATTACTTCAAATCAAATTTCTGTGACTATGTGCACCATGATTATCTCATTGTGATTCCTGAAATTATGTTAGATTTGACATGATAAAAATACGCATTCCTATATTCTCATGTCATTGTATATTGAGACAAGTTTTGCTTGTTAAGAATATATATTCTATTCATAATCCCGTTCATTCTGATCTTCTCTAAACCTAAGAACTAAGTTACATGAAACCATTTTGTACGTTGCAGATAAGAGGAGACCTGCATATTTGTTTAATGGGTGATCCAGGAGTTGCAAAAAGTCAACTGCTGAAACATATAATCAATGTTGCACCGAGGGGAGTGTATACCACTGGTCGAGGAAGCAGCGGAGTTGGTCTTACTGCAGCTGTTCAGAGAGATCCTGTCACAAGCGAAATGGTTCTTGAAGGAGGGGCTCTGGTGAGACTGGCTTTCACATTATAAAGATCATGTGGGAGGGCTAGGAGTATCCTTCATAGATCTATATCTCTAGTAATAAGTGCACTAAAATGTTTGCATCTCCATTTAAGTGTAATCCTGCAAAAAATATGTTAATATAACAATGCAAATTTATGAAAACTAGTTTATCTTGCTTATGGCTAATGTCAGTACTAGCCAACAAACTAGTGCAGAGCTTAATGTTATATCCTTGCAAATATTTTAAAATATAATGCTGCTGAACATATCTCGTGGATCATATTCTTAGGATCTCCTATATGTGGTTTACTGATGTTTTAGAAATATTTGAAGAAGAAGAAAAATAAATGGACAGAGCTTAATTTCATTTTAAATCATATTTTTCATCATTTTCCTGCAATATGCATGGGCTTTCTGTGCAATGTTTAGTGGGTCATTTACTCTTACAAAATTACTTCTTTCATTATATATTGGTGAAGCTCTTCTTTATTGCAGGTGTTGGCTGATATGGGTATTTGTGCAATTGATGAATTTGATAAGATGGAAGAATCAGATCGAACAGCAATACATGAAGTGATGGAGCAACAAACTGTCAGTATAGCAAAGGCTGGGATTACAACCTCTCTTAATGCAAGAACTGCAGTACTGGCTGCTGCTAATCCTGCTTGGTACAAATTGATGCGGAATATGATTTCATTAGAGTGTGCTTGGATTTAGTTTTTAATAATCCAAGTCTTTTATTTCCAGGGGTAGATATGATCTAAGGAGGACTCCAGCCGAAAATATTAACCTTCCTCCAGCCCTTCTGTCACGTTTTGACCTTCTATGGCTAATTCTGGACCGTGCAGATATGGATAGCGATCTTGAATTGGCGAGACATGTTCTCCATGTGCATCAGAATCTGGAATCTCCTTCACTTGGATTTGCACCACTTGAACCGTCTGTTCTTAGGTAGCCCTTTTCTCATATTACGTAGGAAGAAAACATAAAGTTAATGACTTTATGTTTTATAGAAGAAACATTGCTGTGTTGATCTAGATCTTTCTTTGATCATGAAAGATATGTCAACTGGTTTAATAAAATTGACATTTGTATGCATTTTGATATCTTAATGTACATGCATTATCATTCATCGCACATGAAATATTCCTACACAAATTTCCTGATAACATATATTACAAAATTTCAGTCAAAATTGGATGCTTATGTTAAAAAATTATACATAAAAACATGAAGCCCTTGTGACATTTAATTTACGAATTGATTAACATTAACCACGGCGAAACATCTGATCATCTTTGAGATCATCAACCTTCTTAAGAGAAAAATAATTAATATATCGGAGTTTGTTTCTATAATTTGGCTAAAAGTAGCCAGAAACTATGAATGCCCTCTGAAGCTGCTTTTCTATTTCTTCCCTCTTTTTCTATTTCTTTCCTCTTCTCCTTTTCTTTTCTCTAGGCAATTGATGTTAATATACACTTTAAAGTTTAAGAAGAGTAAAACCAGTTGATAACATACAAACCAACAAAATCCAGCACTAGTTGGCTGCTCTTAGGTTGATGGTGCTGGTTCCTATGAGAACCTTCCACATTCAGGTTCCACATTCTGGTCCACTTACTGCAGTTGTACTACCTATGGTTAGTATGATTGACGAGTAGCTTGACAATGCATGCACATACTGATCTTCATTTCCTTATATGTCACATTCTTAGTGTAGAGATATTTGAATAACTTCTCCTTGTTAGAGCTTGAACCAACTAGTAGTTAAATTTCTCTACTTTCAACTGGTTGTCTATTTTCAATGACAAGCTTCAGTTTCCTATTTGGTTCCTCGAGGGTTTATGTGAAATAGTAGTCATGTGAAATGGATAGTTGTGACTGTTGAGACAAACCCGGTGCCCAATAGAGCAAGGTCGTAGCGAATAGTAGTGCAGAAGTAATAAAGTGAACACACAGATTTACGTGGAAAACCCCCTAAATGAATTTGGGTAAAAACCACGAGCAAGGATAGAAGAATCCACTATGAGGAAAAATTTTGGAGTTACAATCTCTCTTTACAAGGAGAAACTCTCTATTTATTCTCTCACTTCTATATATATGGAGATTGGTTTTTTTTGTTGTGATTTCTATTTCTGATCAGCTTTATTTATAGGCAGCTAAAATCACTACACTAATTTTATATTATTTTTCTTTTAATATTTTCAAACTCTGCCTAAGTCACAAAAGGGATGGTGCCTACCAATTAGGCTGATGTCTCTTTCAACAATCTCCCACTTGAAAATTTGATTGAGTATCAATCATATCTTCACACCATTCTTTCCACCTTTCCATTTTTATGTTGCTCACGTCTCCATCACACCACGAGAGGATCTATTCCAGACAAATTTGTCAGTATTGACTGCCTTTGTCAGGGAATCTACTAGGTTATCTTTAGTGTGAATTTTCTGCATATCCACTGTTCTTTCCACTTTCTCACGAACAAACGAGTTTTGTCTTTGAATGAAAGGCTGGATTTCTTATTGTTTTAGTTGGTTATTATGCTAAGGCTTGCTTTGGATGATGACCCTTTTTACGTTCATTTTGATTGCCTTGCTTCCATTGGCACAGAGCGTATATTTCAGCAGCACGAAGAGTATCTCCTTCTGTACCAAGGGAGCTAGAGGAGTATATCTCTACTGCATACTCAAGCATTCGCCAGGATGAAGCTAAATCAAATGCCCCACACTCATATACAACTGTCAGAACACTTCTTAGCATTCTTCGCATATCTATTGTATGTTCTACCCTGTCTTCCAGGAGCACTTTTACTCATTGTGCTAAGTTTCTTTGGTGTACTGATACTTTTCATCTAAAAATTACAAGCAAAGATACAGTAAAATTACAGAAATGGCCATCCTTTATCTTTGCAGGCTCTAGCAAGGCTTAGATTTTCAGCAGCAGTTGGCCAGAGTGATGTGGATGAGGCTTTGCGGTTGATGCAAATGTCAAAGTTTTCTCTATACTCCGATGATCGTCAAAGATCTGGATTGGATGCCATATCCGATATCTATTCAATTTTGCGAGATGAAGCTGCGAGGACAAACATCATGGATGTGAGCTATGCCCATGCTCTCAACTGGATATCCAGAAAGGTCAGTTTGCAATTTTTATGTTTGCTACACTTTTTGGAAGTCTGAATGCATGGCGCGAACTTCCAAGAAATGTTGACTGCACATGTATCTTTGCATGTGTTCAACTTACTATGACTTTTGTCATTGGTCTTCATGCACTCAGTATCGCAAAATGCTTCTTGAGAAGCATTCGAGGAGTTCCTATAAAATCTTGTTAAAATTCTCTACATTTCTTCCTTCTAGGCTATGAACTAGCATAGGTAGTTTTGCTGTTGCAGCTTCCTTTTTTGTACTTACAAGTTACAAGTACTGCCACATGGGGTATGTTCACTTAATATTGGTCAAAGAGAGTGAACTTATACAGGTAACATTTACGTAATATTGGCCAAAGAAAGATCTGGTTCATCTCCCTTTTGAAAAAAAAGGAAGGGGCTAAAAAATTCCTGGTCCTGCTTGTTGGAGTGTAGCCTAGATCCTACGATGTAGAAGTTCCCATTCAATGTAAATCAGTGGTTCTACACCAAAAACACAGGAACCCCCCCCCCCCCCCCCGAAAAGAAAAGCCGAGTTGCGAAAGACCGATTAACAAAGATGGATTAGACTAATCTACTATGGCACGATTGGCACAAAAGGATAAACGCTAACTGAGTCATGAGTCCAAGCATAGTTAACCATATGCCAATCTAACCTGTTAATTAATGTGCGACTAAATCACATGTCATGCCTTTTTTCTACACCAAACCTACACTAAATCCAAATGGATGCGAGACAACTAACAGAAGCAAATGCATCAAGTCTTTCTATGAAACCATCTTCGTGGGGGTCTTTTCTGAAATGCATCTCTTTCTATGTCTGAAGCTTAAACAGAATAGGTGTTCTCATGCTCCAAACCTGATCCCTCATCAACTGAACACGGGCCTGGTCTGGTACATATGAGGCATGATTTCTGAATTATTAGACCTTTTATGATAATATGCGACTTTTTTATGAGACCCATGTCATTTATTGTTCAATGATAAGCTCCAGATGTTTTACGAGACCCATATAGTTTATATTGTGTATGCAGTGGTATATGTTCCACTGCGTCGTTGCTCCCCCACAATTTGTGTTGGGTGGATGCCTTTTGTATATGTACTGTTTCTATCATGTTAATGCTAACATCATTCTTTTGACCAACTCCAACAGGGATATAGTGAAGCTCAGCTGAAGGAATGCTTAGAAGAATACGCTGCCCTAAATGTGTGGCAAATCCACCCGAACACCTTCGACATTCGTTTCATTGATGCCTAATATTGAGACACCTTGTAAGATGACAGCTATTTATTCTCTACTACTAATCTGGATTGAGAAACTCGAGGAATCTTTGTTCTTCTGAGCCCATTAGTTTCATCATTCTGATGCTGAAGGATCACAAGAATCAAAAATCTTCAAGGCAGCAATACTGGATTCTCTTTGTTGTGTTGCTGTAACAACCGAAATGTGAGATTTGGTGAGCTCCTGCATTACAATGTACCTGATATTGAGGTGAATCTTGAATTTTACATGAACTTCATGGCTATTTAAGTACATAATGCTTACTAACTTTGTTGCGTGATGGTAATGTTTTGTACCTGAAAATTTGAACATTTTGATGAACTGTGGTCTTTGATTTGTCTTAGAAAGTTCACCTTCCCTGATTCTTACGTGGCAAAATCTTGTCTATTTAGAAGTGTCTGGTTATCATGAACTTAGTTATTTTCCCGCTGACAGCTACTAATTTAAAATTACTTTCTATATATCAAATTATTGCAAAGTATATTTAGCTAGTATTTCTATATTATATGATTCTGTTTGCTAAAAGAGTTTACTTCACGTGTATGGCAATATCATTTCCTAAAGTTCACATATCATTGACTTAATTGATTGAAGGAACAAGCAAAGTTTAGTTTATCTGCCATCTGCTTTTTTCTCTGCATCTTAATCTGATATGGAAAATTTTAAAGTTAATTTGCATCTTAATCTGATATGGATATTTTCTTAGTTAATTTGCTGTGTTAATTTCTGAGACAAGTTTCTTTTTCCCTCAGAGTGGATTATTGAGCTATCTCATTGAGAAATGCTCAATGATGTTAATCCTGTAACGTAAGTTAGAAATGTTTTTATCTTTTCTTCTTGAATTATATGTTTATATCATTTGGATTTCTTATTTACATTGTCAGGTAAGTATTAATAATGTTTCTTTGGCCCACAAGTTGCTGATTGATGCTGAAGTGAGGAAATATGCACATTCTACAACTTTTGGGGTAGATTTTTTTGTTTTGTTTTCTGTTATCCTTAGATTCCGAGTCTTTGTAGTTGTCATCCCTAAAGAGATCAAACATCACATGATCTTTCAAGCATCAATAAGCGAAATGTTTTCTGTACATCTATTGTTGAACAAGTAAAACCTTTGATGTCAGAGTTTGGTCGCATTAGGCAAGCCTGCAGGTATCTGCAAGGTTTCTGTCGCAAACAACACACTGTATCTAAATGCCAACATGAGATGAGCCCAAGAGTACCGATGTTGATACGTATGCCAAAAATCTTCCCAGTTTGATTAAATAAAAGCCTACTGAAAAGTCTAGCTCTCAAAATTTTGCAACATTTTCTACGCGGGCTCTGAAGCTCAATCTCCCCACTTGCCCTTCTTCCCTTTCATGGCCCTTGGCCGCATGCTCCCAGTGGTGGACATGGCCAAACTCTTCGCGGCCGTGGGTTGAAGTCCACCATCTTCACCACCAGGCCAATGCCACCCTCATTCGGCCACTTCCTCCTCGAAATTATCTCCGTCCCTTTCCTCTCAGTCCCTGGCTTGCTGGAGGGGGTGTGAAAACTGTTGGAATTTTAAAATTGATAAAAGATTAATTTCTTTCCTTAGTCTTATCATGGTTGTTCAGAAATGAAGAAAAAGAAATGTCAATGATTCCTCCACTATAAGCAAAGAAGAAAAAAAGAAATCAAATGGTTCCACTCTCTCTTTGATGACCGCAACAATCTCAACGGGAGGAAAAAATAAATGGATCTTGATGAAGGAGAACATAAGAGAAGACAAAAGGAAAAACAAAATTCTCTATTCTCTCTCTCTCTCTCTCTCTCTCGTAATTCTCCACTTTATTATTTGATTTCTATTTTAATTTGTCGGGGAAATATCCATGCAAGAGACCGAAGTTCGTAGTAAAGTTTGGTGCTGGCATTCTCAGGGCTTTTTACCGCTAGGCGTGATCGCATCGAATCGCCTTTGCGAAGGCGGTGACTATTGTCTTAGGACAGTGATTACACGATTACCCCTTTCTCAGACCTGCATATTATAACTTGATTTTAGAATTTAATTTTAATTATTTTCAGTGATATTGATTTTATCCAACAAAAACTTCTCATACGCAACGACATTCGACACAATATCCAAGTTCATCGAGCTGTAAACAAGCTGAAGCAGCATGGATCACAGTCCTGAGAGAAACCTACCCTGATTGTGCATGGCCGGCTCATTTCTCCCTTGGACATACAAGCGCTCGTGCTTCAATGGGGGTGAATTTCTTTGGCTCTTGGCGCTCGGCGAAAGCATAGAACAATACAAGCCTATCGACAATGCCACCTGTGGCGGCCGAGTCTATTGCTGTCCCTGGCGCGCCAGATAATTAAGGTTCAGATGATCAAGTGACGACTCCCTGACCTGAAGAAAATCTTGCCAGCATTCATAAATGTCTTGAAAGAGGTCAAAGGGCACGAACATAAAAGTATATGGCGTTGTCATGAACAGCCACTCTGAGTTGGAACCGAGATAGTCGAGGCAATAGAAATAGCCACGGCGATAAAAAAGCTGATGGATGAGGGCGAGGAGGCAGGCGAAAGAGCTAGCGAAGATGGCGAGAAAGGTGACAGAGAGAGGCGGTTCGTCTTACAATGATATGAGCGCGCTGATCCAAGAGTCACGAATCATGATGCTGCGAAGAAATGCGAGCGAGTAGGAAGGACTGCTTGCTCCCTTTCTACATTGGGTCCTTTTTTATTCAGTTTACATATGCTTGGAAGGCTGTTCGTCTTTCATTAAATTTACTTTTCTAAATTAGTCTTTTTCTTTTTTGGGTTTGACGAGGGAACTACCTCACACGCATCCGGACTATGAGTATCAAACTCTCAGGCATGGCTACGGGTCGCCTCCCACCGCACATCCTTGAGTGTTTTATCGGGGTGTTCTTCAAGAGAGTCGAATATGAGACCTTAGAGTAATAAGTAGCTTACTAACTCAACTAGATTCGTCTTGGGTTATATTAGACATCTTGCAGATGCGGAGAGGATACTCTAATGCTTGTTTTAAATTATATAAAATTATTATTTTAAAATGTTTTCAATTATGAGGCCCACTAAATCAATCCTATTAACCCCCGTAATCCATTGTAAAGACTCTCTACAATACAATGTAGATGATCCTTGCCTGAAATTCGTCTCAATAATTTTTTCTTTAAAAAAAACCTCAGATCCAATTTACAAATAAAGCCCTAACTTTTCTCTCTCTCTCTCTCTCTTACTACTAAATCCTAATCTATCAAGATGACCGCGACGAAGAGGCTGATGCGGGCGAACGAGCCCCCCAAGCTCGACGATATCGTCCGAAGACCTCTCTATGGCGGGAAGAGAGGAGCAAAGCAGGTGTAATCTTCTTCACTTGTCGAGGTTCGTGGTTAGATTTCGATCTCTTAATTATTTTATTTTTTTCCCTTGTTGCTATTGAATTGGTTGAGGAGAGAATTTGTCCTTAGATGGAATTTTTTCGTTGTTGGAAATTCGAAGGTTTATAGTTTTAGGGTTTAGTGTGTGAATTAAATTTAGACGATTGTCAGAAAACCCTCTATATTATGAGATGAGGGAGGCCTTTGGCCTCCCCCTCATTATCCCTCCATTCACACCCCATTATGGTGGTGTAACATCCCATTAAGTGGGGGTGACTCTTGGGTACTCAACCTATTCACATTGACTAGTATAAATATATATCATAGGCCTTTGGCCTATGGATGTGTTTCAAACACGTTATCAGCACGAAGTGTTCTTAAATCCCTGAGCCATAAAAAAAATATTTCCTTCCGCTTTTGCGCATTGAGATCTGGTTCGTTGCAGCGGGAGCGTTCGACGGATCATCGCAAGGAGGCAGCGTTCTACGGATCTTTAGTATCGATCGTCCATAGATCTTTGATCTAGAGGTAATTACTATAATCCGTAGAATAATATATGGCAGCTGGAAAATTAGCAGAAAAAAGGAAAAATTTTGTTACTGTTCACCGAGGGTTACTGTTTACTCGGGAATTTTTCTGTTTATTAAGCAATTTTATTGTTGTTCATCTAATCTAATTGCTTTCATTATTTGTTGGCATAACTAGTAATTAATACTATTAGTTAATTGCTATTTAAAAAAAAATTTAACTATTACTGTTCATTCCGAATATAAAGATTTTACTGTTCATTTAAAACAGTTTTAATTTTATGTTAAAAACGGTTACTCTTCATCCAAAGCAGTTACTGTTCATCCGAGATATAAATGTTCATAGGATTAATTAGTTGTTGATTAAAATTCGGAAAAACAGTTATATAAATAAATAAAAAAAATTATTGTTCACAAAATGTACATGTTACTGTTCATTTTATCTTAAAAGTTAGAGCATGTAGGTTTTGCACTGTCGCCATCAAAGTCCCATGCACACGTCTCAGAGCCTAACTCTCAAAACCTATCCACACGCAACATCTTTAGATTTTTCATGTTTAATAATTACGGAAGGTCCTGAGATCGCTCTGCCGTTAGTAATCTAAACTAACGGTGCGTATGATATGTCTCCTCGTGGCCCACGTAATTATTAAAATTTTAGGTTATATCTAATTATATTCCTGAGATGTTGCGCAATTGTTATGCCTGTTGCATATATTATTATTAAATTGCGTGGATGTTTAAATAAATAATGTTGTGGTTTTTGGATCAGCCTGTTTGTCACCAAATTTAAATTCCTTGCATTTTCTTTTCCTTCTGAGAGAGAAATTGTAGTGAGTTCCTTGCATTTTCTTTTCCTTCTGAGAGAGAAATTGTAGTGAGGATATAATTGTAAAAAGTCAAAGACCAGTGTATTCCATTGAAGACGAAGGCATTTTTGCAAAATGCAGGGACCCCCAAGGGTTTTTCAAATTGTATTTTAATTTTATGTTTTTTGTTATCTTTGGACTGTATAATCGGACTTTGGACACTTTTTGGTGACGGGCTGATCCACGCAACATGTTTATTGCATGAATTTTTAATTCCTTATTATTAATTCATGTCTTTCAAATGCATAGATAAAATGGCTAAAATAGCGAGCGTTGATTTCGAAGTCCTTGACGCTGCTGGCAAGAATTATTTGAGTTGGCATGTGGACCTGAAGTTGGACTTACGTGCCCAGGGCTTATTAGCCACAATTTCAACTCCTGCTCCACCGGCTACGACCACTGTTACGGGTAATACTATAAATAATGCTGAGGTTGCTACTACAGTGATCGTCTCTGATATAGATAAGGCGAAAGCCATTATCTACATCAGGAGACATATTGATCGGACCCTGAAGGCCGAATACCTGACTGTAGAGGACCCAAAGGAATTGTGGACTGCACTTGAGGACCGATACAAACATCAGAAAGATGT